GCTGAGGCAAGAGGATCCCTGTGAGTTCAAGGTCAACCTGGGCTACATAGTGAATTCAAAGCTAGCCTGAGCTATACGATAATCTTTTTTTTAAAAAAAAGTCACAAAATGCCAAAGAAACCATGGCCTACAAAAATAAAATGACTTGGGGCTAAGGATTTAGCTCAGTGGCATAAGCACCTGCCTTGCAAGCAGGCAGTCGTGAGTTCGATCCCCAGTACCGATAAAAAGACAAAAATAAATAAATAAATAAATAAAATGACTTTTTAAAAATAAGTAGAATAACCTCAATCAAATCGATCAAACATTAAATTTGTAATTTTGTGTGTGTGTGTGGTACTAGGAATTGAACTCACAACTTCACATTTGCCAAGCAAGCACTTATGCTGCTGAGCTAAACCCCCAGCCAAATTTCTAAAATTTTAAATGATCTTTACAAAACCATATACTAAGGGCTGAGGATTTTGCTCAGTAGCACAAACACCCGCCTGGCAAGCACAACATCATGAGTTAGATCCCTGGCATAAATAAATAAAAGAAAAAAAAAACACTAAATGCCGAAGAGAAACAACATACAACAGCAACTTTCATGAAATCAATTTGTTTATGCCATCGATTTTAAGCAATCCCTATAAGAATAATAGAAAATATGCCAGGCATGGTGGTACATGCCTGTAATCCCATCATTCAGGAGGCTGAGGCAGGATTGCTGTGAGTTCAAGGTCAGTCTGGGTTACACAGTGAGACCTTCTCTCCACATTAAATAGAAAATGTTAAGCCAGGGATGGTGGTTTGCCGGTAATCTCAGTGAGATTCTGCTTTACGGAAAAAAAATGTCAAGTAAACCTGTAAATTTAGGTACTACTTATTTCAATGAATTTAAGCTAACATTATATTAAGCCATGTTTAAATGCTTAATCAGCAATATAAACCAAGCTTAAAAAATTTTTTTTGTTTTTGTTTTTTTGATACAGGATCTACATAGCACAGGCTGGTCTTGAATTTGCAGATGATCTTTCTGTCTGCTTCCTGAGGGCAGGGATTAAAGGTATGTGCCACTGCACCTGGCAAATTATTTTTAAGTAACTAAAATATATCTATTTTTGACCAAGTCATGACAGTACAGTACAATATAAACACAGGCAAACCTAAATTCAAATTCCAAAGCTATGTATTTACAGACAATTTAACTTCTCTGAATCTCAATTTCCTCACCTAAGAAACAGGGACGTCAATTCAAAGACCTGTTTTTTGAGACAAGTTCTATATAGCCCCAGCTGGTCTTAACAGTGATCATCCTGCCTCAGCCTCCAGTGCTAGAATTACAATGCACTACCAGGATGCATTTCAAACACCTGTTCTTAAAAATGAACAATAATGTATAATCAATGACATTGACAGACATTCTACAAATGGCACTTACTCGCAGCAATAACTGGTATTAAAATAACACAATTCATGAATAAAACATAAGGATTTTACATCCTCTCAGCCAACAATGTACCTATATTACTTGACTCAACAAAATTATAAAATGTACTGTTAATAAATTTTTCATTCCTAGCAACTCGGAACCATTACTTAAAATTCTGATGGATGTGTACGCCTGTAAACTCAGTATTGGGAGGCTGAACAAGAAATTGAGTTGAGGCCAGCCTGGGCTACACAGTAAATTCAAGGTTAGCCTGGACTACGTAGCAAACTACCAAACAAAACAAACAAAAACAGACGAGCAGACAAAAGATCAGTTCCAAACACTGTCCTATGGAAAAGAGGTCTAAATGGTGCCCTTATTTCATCGTATTTCATCTATAACAATCACTGACATCACTCAAAACTCTAAAGGGGAGCCATACTCAAAATCCAATTAGCCAATTCTTATACATAGAAACAAACAATTGTATCAATTTTTCAGGAACCCTTTCACCTGTATGGAGGAACAGACATATTTCCCTTCTTTTGACATAAGTAATGGTCTCCTCAACACTACTCCGCACCTCAGTTTTCACATTTACCTACAAGCTATATTTTGTTTTGTTTCATTTTTGACCCAAGGTCTCCCATATAGTTCAGGCTGGCCTTGAACTCACAGCAATCCTCCTGCCTCAATCTCCGGAGCACTGGGAACACAGAGAGAAGAGGCTATACTTTTAACACACTCCATGACCACTTATAAGCTCCTACAACCAGAATTCAATACACATCAGCTATCTTTAAAAAGGTATTTGAATGCCCACCAAGGTCCTGAAATCAGCCAATACTTGAAGGGAACACAGCATATGAATTAAATTTTGGTAGAGATTCTCGTAAGATGACATGTTAAAATATTTCATTATTTGATCAGTCATTCAAAATATATTTACAAGGGCTCAGAAGTGCAGTGCCTGCCTAGTAAGCAAGAGGTCCTGAGTTTGATACCCAGTACCAAAATAAATAAATAAACAAACACTACCATCAGGGAAGATAAATCCTGAGGGGGGGGGATCAGAAAAATTTTATTAGTGAGTTAGATCCCCAGCACCAAAAAAAAAAAAAAAAAAAAAAAAAAGCACCACACATTATATGTATTTTTTTGTACACTTAGAGAAATATGTGGACACAAGTATTTCAATGAGTTGAAAATAATCTTATACAACTGTGCCTATTAAAACACCAATGAAATAAAATATTGGTGAAAATAAAGCTATCTGTTTATATTTACTCCAAGATTAAATTATTAGACACTCTCCTCAATTTTCTTTGCAACTTACTTTCCTGGAAGAAATTTCCTTCCAGATTTATAAATGTACTATTTTCTCTCTTACAAACTGCGCATGCACCTCTGAGCTGTTCCTCTGGCATAAGTCACCCTCCCCTTCCCTCCCCTGTCCTCCCCTCCTCTTCTCTTCTCTTCTCTCTGTCTCTGTCTGTCTGTCTGTCTGTCTGTCTCTCTCTCTCTCTCGCTCTCTCTTTGGGTACTAGGAATTGAACTCCGGACCTTGCACTTGCCAGGCTGACGCTGTACCGCTGAGCTATATCTCCAGCCCACAAAATAGTATACTTAAAAAAATAACCTGTTTTCCTTTTGTGTTTTCTTTTTCTGAAATACTGTGGCTCTTCAAAAGCAACAGTATTATATAGTAATATGCATTTCTAGAGCAACACAAGAATTTCTGATGATCTTCAGTTTAAGTACATAAACCATGCTGAAAAGTCACTTTACAGAAAGCAAAGAGACGGTATGAATTATCTGAGCAGTAGTTTACCACTAAGTATAAGAAAATAAGGCATTAGAAATCTATTAAGATTCAGGCACACACAACCACATTATAGAAGAAATGTTTTAAGCTGATGGCAACAACAGCTGCAATCTTTCATTAGGAATATATCTCAATTACGAATCCTGGAATACATTTCCTTATGTAAAGAATTAAAATTATTGTTACACTGTTTCAGTAGAGACGTTTATGACTATTTCTGCATCGTACCACAAAAATACAAAGTCATGCCTCCATTCCAAGTTTTGGCAAACGAACAAATGCAAAGTTCAGAGTTCACACACATGCTCTGTTAAAAGGATCATTACATACTATTTAGTTACCTACTAATCACATTCAGTAAGTCTAACAATTGTGACAATTATTAGTTTTCTCCACGTGTATTTAGAAACAAATATGATCACAGTACACTCAGTGGCACAAACAAAACATAATTATTGGACTCACTTAGAATCGTGAATTTCATAAACCACTACTAACAATATCAAGGTACCAACCACAGAAGAAAATAAAATAGCTTAATGTGTTTAATAATAAATGTCAATCTCTAAAGTAACAGTCATTTTCTGTATTAACCAATTAAACTTAATGGAGAAAATAACCTGACATTCTCGACTTTGGTATGAAAAATTACACTAATATTTGTTTAGTTCGCAAATAGTCCATCTTGGATATTTTAAATAAGTGTGGCCTGCAGTAGCATACAGTATCCAAACTCTGCAGGACTGAAAAGCGACAGGAGAAATTTTTTTTAAAAAATTCACCGCTACTATGTCACATTACCTTTCCAATCAGGACAAACTTACTTAATAATGATACATAATAATGTATTTATTTGGTAAAATGCCTTGTTCTTAATAGTTCTATTTTTCGAAAGTAAGGGTCAATTCAACTATGAGGAACATCATAATGAAGTTACACAGCATAACGAGTCACAGAGGCATTGTCTTAGGAGAAACATCTTGACCACTTGTCAACAGTGTTTTGAAATAAGCTATTCAAGTACCCCAGTATTTTCTTTCCTAGCTAAAAGTATTCAACACACCAAACAACTTGCCTTTGGTCAGTCAAAAAGCTTCAGATGGCAATACAGAGACGACGAGGAGGTTTGAAAGCAAAAAGATAATGATCTAACTTGGAATTAATTTCCTACCTCCGGTGAAAATTCCCTGATCCTTGCCTCCCACTACGACGCTATACCACTCTGCGTCCCCCCGTCCTCCGGGCACCCAACTATGGGGAGTAACTCAGCCTGTACCCCTCCTTGCATTCACATCTAAGGGCTTGCGTCTTCCCTTCCCTTCTCTACGGAAAGGACAGCAGAGACCTGGCAGGCAATAACCCAGAATCCCCTGAAAAGTGCGGGCCCTCGCGCAGCTCCCCAGATCCGGTTACCACCTTTCCCCTTCCCCCAACCCACTTCCCGGGTTTTCTCGGGCTCGGCCTGCGCCCTCCCCACCCGCCGCCTCCCTTCCTTCCCCAGGCGGCCGCCGCCTGGGCGCCCCCAGGAGCGTCGTCCCGCCCCGCAGCGCGCTCCCCGCCCGCCTGCTAGAACCCGAGAACCCGACCCGGACCCGGAGGGAGGCGACGGCAGGGAGGAGGGGAGGGGGGCGGCGGCCCCTCGCGGGCGCAGCGGCAACGCGGCCAAGGCCACTAGGGGTTGCCGGGGACGTTGGGGTCGCTGCTGGGGGGGCCCTCCCGCCCTGGGCGGAGGTGGGGGACGCCCGGGAGTTCATTTCTGACCTCCTCGCTCTTCAGCACCTCCTTGAACTCCCGCTTGATTCGCTGCACCGCGATGTTGGCCATGTCTCCGCCCGCAGCTGATTCGTACCCGCCTCCTCCGCCACCGCTACGACCACCGCCGCCGTCGCCACCTCTTCCTCCACCGCCTCCTCCCTCGGCGACTCAGACCCAAGCACAGGAAGGCTACCACTGCCGCCCCTGCCACCGCCGCCGCGCTCTCCGTATAGAATCACCTCCGCGCCCGGCCACCAAAATGGCGCCGGCGCCGCGCATGCGCAGGATCTGGTCCGGCCGGGCGGCGCAGCCGCTCCCGTTGTAGCCTCACACGCCTCGCCTCGAGCCCGCGCCGCCCCGCGCGTCTCCGCCGGAGCTTCGGCCGGGTGGCTCCGCCCTGCCGGCGTCTGGAGCGGCGAGGGTGCGGCTTCCACGCCAGCCGGCTCGGGCCTCCCGGGTCTGCCCCACGCCTCCGCCCCTCTTTATCCCGGTGTACTATGGTCGAGGCTTCCAGCGCAGCCTGACCCCTTGTAGCGGCCCACTCGGCCGAGGCCGTCCTGACTCAGCCCGGGCTGAGTGTAGCGTCGGGAGCCGCTTTCCGAGAACTCAGTCCGGCCCACTGTCGATCGGGACATGCCCAGAAAACCCACTGCGGTGGCTTTTGTTCTGGAACCATTGTAATGCCACTCTGATTCCACCATCTCAGGTGGTACAAACTATAAAGAGCCATTTACTGTTGGATCGCAGCTGGCGCGCTTGAGAAAGATGTTCCATGGAGAAGCTCGAGTGGGTTTGGAAACCTTATGTTGATCTTTGACCTTTTTTGATAATTAGGGTTGTGGAATTAAAACCTTGGTTTTCAAACTTTAGTGTGCATCAAAATCCCTGGAGAGCTTGTTAAAAAAAATAAAAATTGCTGGGCCCCATCCCTAGAGTGTGGTCTAAGAATTTGTATCTCTAATGAGCATCCAGCTGCTACTGCTGGTGGTAGTTCAAGAACCATACTAGTACTGTAGAATTAAAAAGGCATATGTACATTTTCAAAAGTTAAAAAAGAAGATATGGAATCTAGGGGGAGTAGAAAACACTTCTGTAAGCCTAGAACCTACAAAGGTATCTGGCACTAATAGCACTCAGTAAATATTGAACGAATAAACGAGTAAAAAGAATAAAGTTTTAAATGGAGAGGAAGTTTGAAAGGTAGTTTGAAAGTAGTTGCTAGGTTTTACAATAAGTAATATGGTTTTGATACCTAGAGGAATTTTTGAGTTTTTTTGTTTTTTTGTTTTTACGATAGGTTCTAGCTGTGTAGTTTGGGCTGCCCTTGAATTCACTGTAGCCCAGATTGATTAGCTTCGAACTCACAGCGAGCCTCCTGCTTCAGCCTCCCAAATGCTAGTGCACCTCTGACTGAATAAAACATTTTGGAATAAATAATAAAGGTATTATTTTAGAAGTTGTACAATTCCTTCATCAAACCAAACAGCAAAATATTATAACATATCACAGTGGGGGCCAGGGATTTAGCTCAGCAGCATAAGCACCTGCCTGGCAAGCGTGAGGTTGTGGGTTCGATTCCCAGTACCAAAAAAAAAAAAAAAAATCACAGTGGGTAATGGGACAGTGAGAATGACCAGAGTATGTGATGTGTATGTACAAATCTGCCTAAATGAAACCCATTAATCTGTAGAACCAATGTACACTAATAAAAGATGTGAAACCAAAATATCACAAATATATGATTTTAGCAAAACTAATTAGAACTGTGGCAACAAAAAGAGAAACAGCCGCTGGAGGCAAATCATTCAGTGAGACATGTAACAAAAGGGAATTTCTTGAACTGTTGTCTCAAGAACCAAGAGACAATTTCTTATTCTAGGCCTTTCCCCTACTAGACCTTTTGGCCAGCTTTGGTCTCTCCATCTGTGATGTAAGGAAGTTGGATTCGATCATCACTTTCAAGTTTTAAGAGTTTTCTAAAGCATCATCCCAAAACATTGCCTTAATCGGATTGATGTAAACTATAAAACGCTTCTAGCAGAGCCCCCTAGTGGTCGTAAGGGGAGGGTCAACCTATAGGTCAGGTTATAATGATTACTGTGTTGCCGGAATGCAAATCAAGCAATGCTTTTTTTTTTTTTTTTTGTCTTTTTCTTTTTTATCGGTACCGGGGATCAACTCACGACCGCCTGCTTGCAAGGCAGGCGCTTATGCCGCTGAGCTAAATCCCCAGCCCCCAAGCAATGCTTTTTGTAGCGTTTGTGCCAGTTCCTTTAAAACGAATTGTTTTGTGGTGTGCAAAAACTCGTGGCTACATTTGTCACTCTCAGTTAGTCCCCAGTCCTAATCGTGGAACTTCATAAAGAAACATGCAACATTCAATTCACTAGGGTACCAGCTAGAAGGGTCTGGTAATTATCTAACTCTTAGGTTAGATAAGTTTTTTCCTCCAGTACAGGGGATTGAACTCAAGGCCTGCTGCTAAATCACACTCCTACCTCTCTGGGTTTGGTAATTTTTAGATGCGCATAATCATTAACTCTGAATGTCACTTCTAAGAATTCATTCATTCTGTAATCCAGAGAATTAGACAACTGGGTATGAAATGATATGAGACAATCTTTAAGATATATTTTTCCTTTTTCTTTTCTGTACCATTCACTATTGAATTTATAGTGCTGAGCTATATCCCAGCCCTTTTTATTACTTAATTTCATTTAAGTAGTTATTGTAGTGCTAGGGATTGAACCCTGGGGCCTCACTGAGCTATATCCCCAGACCCTGGGGTGGGGGTGAAGGGGGCAGCTGCTAAATTGCATTTTGTGGGACCCAAATTTGCAGTCCTCCCACTTCAGCTTCCAGCGTGCCAGGATTACAAGCATGTACCCTGTCCAGCACTTTTTATTTACTGATTTTATTTTAATGTTTATAATGCTGAGGATTGAACCAGGGTCATGTACACGCTAGGCAAGGGCCTTACTATGGAGCTAAATCCTCAACCCTATTTATTTAGAGAAAGGGTCTCCCTATATTACCCAGAATAGCCCTGAATAGTGATCCCTGCCTCAGCCTGAAGAGTAACTGGGATTATAGGCACAAACCACCACGTCCAGTGTCAAAATACATTTATTTGGTCCATAATCCTAACATACTGGGAAACTGAGCAGGAGGACCACAAACTCAAACCCAACCTAGGCATTTTAAGCGATTTAGAGAGTACCTACCTCAGAAAATAAAAAGGGCTGAGGATGTACCTTACTACAAAGTCCCTGGGTTCAATCCCCAACACCAAAAAACAAACAAACAAAAACACAAAGATACACTTGTTTATTTTTTCGTTGTTTTTTGAGTCAGGGTCTGGCTATGTGATTTAATCGGGCTCAAACTCATGATCCTCCTGTCTCACCTCTCAAATATTAGGATAACAGGGATGTCCCTTGAAACCCAGCTTTAAAATATATTTTAAATGAAAACGCACCATGCTAAATGCAATGTGGTAACCTGGACTGGATACTAGAAGCAAAAGGACATAAAAAGTGAAATATCAATGCTGTAATTTAGTTAATAGTATTTTGTAATATTAACTCCTGAATTCTGATGTAGCACCATGGTTACAGAAGATGTTAATATTAGTGAAAGCTAAGAAAAGAGTATGTGAAGATCTCTGTGCTACCTTTTCATTCCTAAATCTAAAGTTATCCCAAAAGAAGTAAAGCTTATGTTTTGTTTTGTTAACTTGTGATTGGAACCAGGGACTTTGTGCTAAGCTATGTCTCTAGCTGTTTTTAAAAATGTTTTATTTTAGGGGCTGGGGATTTAGCTCAGTGGCATAAGCACCTGCCTTGCAAGCAGGTAGTGGTGAGTTCAATCCCTGGTACCGGTAAAAAGGAAAAAGACAAAAAAAAAAAAAATGTTTTATTTTGAGACAGGGTCTCACAAAGTGGCTAAATTGCCTGGGCCTGCGCTCTAATTTGCCATCCTCCTGCCTCAGTCTTCTGGAGTGCTAGGATTTCAGAATGTGACAGCACACTTAGAAAAAAGTTCACAGTTTTAAAAAGCAGTATGAAGGGCTGGGGATTTAGCTCAGTGGTATAAGAGCCTGCCTGGCAAGCGCAAGGTCATAAGTTTGATCCCTGGCACCAAAAAAAGAAAAGAAAAGAAAAGAAAACCCACTGTGAAAAGCAGTGGCAAACGCCTGCAATCCCACTAAGATGGCAAAAAGATCCCAAATTCAAGGCCATCCAGGGCTATTCAGCAGGACCCTATCTCAAAATAAAAATTGTAAAAGGGCTTAAGGAGTGGACCTGATGGTGCAGGCCTATAATCCCAGCTCTCAAAACAGCTGATGCAGGAGGATTACAAATTCAAGACCAGCCTGGGAAATAGCAATTTAACAAAACCTCTCAAAAGTAAAAGTAGGCTGAGAATGTAGACCAGTTGAAGGACCTGGGTTCAATCTCCTCTACTGAAAAATACTACTAATAGTAAACAACTCCTGGTATGGTGATATATATACACCAGCACTTCAGAGGCTGAGGCAAGAGGATTGCTGCAAATTTGAGGCCAGCCTGGGCTACAGAGTGAGTTCAAAGCCAGCCTGAACTGCATAGTGAACCCTGTCTCAGAAAGAAAATACTGTCAGGGATTTAGCTCCGTGGCACAAGTACTTGCCTGGCAAGTGTGAGGTCATGAGTTCAATCCCTGGTACCAAAAAAAAAAAAAAAAAAAAGACAAAATAATAATAATAAGCCATCACAAATTTTTAAAAAATTTTTTAAATTGAGGTTTAAGCCAAAAAAGTCACAAACTTTCAGAACATATAAACAGCAGTATATGAATGTTGCAAAATTGCTTTTACATTGAATGGAGAAGAGTTGTATATTGTGGTAACGAGGATGGACCTTGATTTTCACACCCAGTTATGTCCTGACCCCTGATTGGTTTTGTGTACAGTGCTCAGGAGCTGCAGAATCACCCAGAATCCTGTGTTCTGTGTGTCTCCTAGGTCTTCATGACTTTAACACTTCCTGCCAGGCTTTTGACTGTTTTGCCCCAGTCCTAATCTCTCACCTCAAGGAGAATGAGGCAAGCAGATCATAATCTTTAGGTCAGTTTGGGCAATTGAGCAAGACCCTGTTTCAAAATAAGAAATAAAAAGGGCTGGGGAGGCACACTTGTGCTTTGTTATCCCATATTATAATAATCTAACGTGAAATGCTTGAATCTCCCTTTC